AAAAAAGATAGTGTTAGCCAGTTCCAGGCTTCAGACCCAGTTCTGCCACAAAATGAGTATACTTCATGACCCTACATTAGAAGGTCACTTAACATTTCTAGATAGGCCTCAGTTTTCTCACTTATAGCATAGGCATAATAATAATTCATTTTTTTCTCTTTTTTAAAAGTTAATTATTTAATTCCATTTGTTATTATTATTATTTTTTAATTTTATCAAAGAGAGACAGAGAGAGAAAGGGAAAGTGAGAAAGCAAGCCACCAGGTCCGGGACTCGAACTGCGGTCGGCCATGTGGGAATCCAGTGCCTTTAACCACCATGCCACCTACTGGCCTCTTTTTTTCTTTTCTAGAAAGATTCTTGATATAGGGCATGTGTGCTCACCCAAGAGACAGATCAAGGCAAGAAATCACCCAGTGGGGATGGCCATGCTGCACACCTTTCTCCTCCATTGTCTTCTCAGAACTTTGGGCATGCATTCATGTAGTCCCAGCAGGAGTTTTAAGCTGCTGGGTTCAGGGACAGATACAAGGGATTCCAGCTATGTAACCATTATGCCATCTGCTAGTCCCGATGATAGTAATAATTCTTACCTCATGAACTTGTTACAAAGGCCAAATAAAGTAGCGAATTATAAGCACTTAATAATTGGTGAAGTGCCAGTAGTTGTTGTGTGCTTCCTCTGCCATGCACAGAGTAGTGTGTGAGGTGAAGGGGAGGGGCAGAGAGGTAGGTGAGGCTCAAGCTCTCTGCTTGACTGGAAGAACAGCTCCCCTAGCAGAAAAAAAGCAAGAGGCAATCACTAATATCTGCCTCTCTCTGTCTCCAGTAGAATGTTCACAGCCTCCCAGAGGCAAGGTTCCTGATACCATATTGAACTGTTCTGGTTGTATGCCCATCTTGTAGAGAACATTTCTTTCTTTTTAAAAAAAAGTATTTTTTTAATTGTCAGAGGGTGTACATGCTTGCCCGAGAGAGAGAGACAGAGAAAGAGAACCAGAAAGCACTTCCTGACAGGGCATGGTCATACTGCAGTCTCTTCTCCACTTGTCTATCCTCTTGAGATTTTGGATGTGCATGTGTACACATAGACTGGGCATGCCTTTCAAACCATTAGGGCTAGAATTTGAGCCATCATCAACCATATGGGATCCAGCTACCTTAACCACCAGGCTACGCGGTGGTCTTTATTTCTTTTTAATTATTTCTTTCATGCAGGGATGCACACACATACACACACACGCATGTGCATACACACAAGTACCATCAACAGGGTTTCACACTACAAACTCCTCCACCTTCCCAGCCATTCAGGGATATGATCATATGCACTTGTACCTGACATGTACATGTTGACCAAGAACCAAACCCTGATCTTCCATATGGATTCAGTATCACTTGAACCAGTCATCTCTTCAGAACATTTCTAAACTCAGCCACCAGTTTGCTTGAATGTGCCTGTTACCTGAAATAATATGTTTTCCTCAGAAATTAGAAATCCTTCTTTTTTTTTTTTTTTTTTTTTTTTTTTTCTGATTGACATATATTGAAACTACTTGGGGCAACTTTATCTTCATTTCATATATATATAACTTTGCTATACCAAAGACAGACAGACAAGGAGAGAGAAGGAAAATGAGAAAGCACCCCCATGGGGGATGAGTATGTATACACATGTACCCAGTGTGTTTTTCAAGATGCTGGGTCTACAACTTGAACCGTGAAGTCAGCCATGTGGGATCCAGCTGGCTTAACCACCATGTCACTGAGTGGGCCTATTTCTGATTCTTAAGTTGGCCTGAGCCTTTCTGAGTCCCCTTCTCCAAAATCACTTGAAATCTTATTAACAGACACTGGAATATACCTGGGGGCTTTCTGTTTAAAGGAATTCCAAGCTTATGCCCCTTGGGATTTAGGCAGATGGTCTTATAACTCTTGGTGGGTTTAGGTTTGGATGTTCCTACATCAGATTTACTAGACAAAATGACAGAGCTCCAGCAGGAGTTGGTCTGGTTGGTGGTTCCCTAACAGACTGTATCTAAATCTTTGGAGATTCAAGTTGAAAGTTAGACTCCTGGTTCTTTTTTTTTTTTTTAAACATTTAATCACTATACACCTTTACAGCATACAAAATGAGTTTTCCTGGCATGAAAACATTGTATATGAGTTCAGTCAAGATATTACTATACACATTAATAACAAGACCCTGGCATTTGATAGAAAGTGGTCGGATATGGAGGATCTATTGCTGAGTGAAGTAAGCCAGGATATGAAAGAAAGATATTGTATGTATCCACTCAATAT